TAAACATCTCCAATAGTATACATATTTAATTACAATTACTATTGCACTTTTTGGTGTTGAAGTCTTACTTTGTTGCAACGTTCGATGCGTTAATCGCAACAGGCTTAGAGTCGGGACACGACCAGTGTAAATAAATACTGTATAGAGTTGCTATAGCCAAATGGATCGTTTGACCATACCACAGAGGGTAAGATACTTCCTAAATGATACTTGACAATTATATCGTTAGGCCAAATTGCGAGCATTTCTTCTAGAACAATTACAGTACCTCTCATAACTTTTGCTAAAAAACGCGATTTCACATAAATCCGTCATCGTCATTACTTCTTTAAAATAGATATTTCTCAAAGGGAAAGCGGTGTTAAACTCAACTCGTCTAAACGGGCCACATTACGTAAACACTAGTATACGGTAGATATGGTAGGAATTTCGCATCGCAAATCTGTTTGAAACTTTGCGTGGGGAAGTTATAAAGCCTTACACAAAGCAGACGGATTCGCGATAGTGACTCCTTACCTACCGTACACCTTAGATGTTACTGTAATGTGTATGACGATACGACGCTTGCGACGGATTCTTATGTGAAATTGCGTTTTTTCTTTGCAAAAGTTAAAAGTTGAGCGGTATTGTACTTTGTCATCAAAATTCAAACAACTTATACAGCTTATAACTTCCTTAACAAAGTCTAAGATATGGCAAGGTATACAAGCCGAAAAATTACAGTTAAAGAATGCGTAACTCTGCATTTTATCCCTTATGTTCACCTTATCAAATGTTAGAAATCCGATAACTAGATTATTCTGATTTTTCATTTGCGTCGATCACACTAGAACTGATTCTTTTGGTTTTAAGAATTTTCACATGTTTTTGTTGCTTAATTTTCAAATTAACTCAGTATTTCCATGTATATTAGCTTTCTTGCCGAAATATTGTAATCTTGCTTATTCCCGATTGAGATGAATACGCGTTTTGCGAAGAACATCATGAAATCAAAACCTACCCAATTCTTGTTTCAAAAATTGATGGCCCTCCACGATATTGTCAACGGTGACAGGATAATAAACATTAGCTTCATCGGTCATTACCCAAGAGCCAGACGCTAATTCTAATCGGCCGCTTTGCACTAACCTATGTAGAAAGGTTAACATCTGCATGATATTGAACAAGAAACCTGCCTACGAATATTTTCGCGTACAGCTGCGCTTTGTTTTATCCACCATCTTTCGAAAAATGCCAATTCTGCCCACATAAATGTCATATTAGGATTTGTAGTCATGAAATTGTGCATATTGTCTAAGATGGCATCTGTCTCCTTCGAATAGGAGTCGAATGTTTGCAGCCAACCTAATATTTAAAGAATTATTTTGTAGCTCAACTCTCATTAATTCTAGAACTTGGATCAACGTGGGTGAATGGTAGTACGAACACCTTTAGCTTGTTCATGGACGGAAGTCGTTGAAACTGCGGATTTTTCAGGTATCCCGTTTCAACCTTCGCCACTCGTTCACGATAGGCATCAAACATCTGAAGACGACCTTTGCTATAGACCTCTGTTGGTGGTGTTAAGCATTAGAAAACTTACGTCGAACTCAGCAGTATCATTGTTATGCGGGCTAGACCTGCAAGCCTCTGCTCCTACAATGG